CGTCGAAGAAGAGCCGCCTTACTCCCCAGCTCCCTCGAAGTGGACGTACTTCGACAATGAAGTCGTCATACGTCGGAGCCGAGCCGCCGTCCACCGCTTTGTCTCGCCCATCCTCGCCTTCGCCGTTGAACACAACGTCGCGCGCGCCGTCGCGCACACGCGTGTCTTCTTGGTCGAGGATGCGGTAGGCCTTCGAGCCTTCCGCGTAGCCGATGAACACTCCCGAGTGCTCTCGTCGTCGAGCTTGCTAATGTGGCCAAGCTCCTTGGCGAACGCGAGGTAGCGAAGACCGCAAGTGGGAGACCGCCGAAGCTGCGCGCCTATGCTAAGCCTCGTCTGACGGCGCCCCGCCGTCGAAGCGTTTTGGTAGGCGAAGCGGTTGAGGATGTAGACGGCCGACACCACCGCCTCTCCCGTAAGACATGTACCGACATCCCCTCTCGCTTGAGAAGGGCCCGAGCCATCCCCACAACCGTGCGGTTGCGCCGCTCGACGACGCCGTTCTGCTGCGGCTCAGACGGGTAGCGGAGTAGTGGCGCTGAATGCCCTTATATCATCGCGATCGACGACGCGCCGCCATTGCCGATCATTGTCGCAAGCGCGAAGACGCGGCGGCGCGCGCCTCTCGCAGCAGCTTGCGCTTGCGCGATGCCTACCATGACCTCTCCTTGTCGCCGAGGACCATCACCCACATGTAGCGGGAGAGGTCGTCGACGAGCAGCAGGAAGTAGCGTCGTCTTCCCGGTGTGGCCGGTGTCACCGGGCCACACAAGTCCTCGTGCACAAGCTCGAGCCTCTCCTTGGCTCGAAAGCTCGTCCACTGGGGAAAGGGGAGTCGCCTTTGCTTCGTCAACACGCAGACGTCGCAGAGCTGCTCCACATGGTCGAGGCACGGCAGGCCTCGCACCATCTCCGTGGCACTAAGCCGCTTCAGGGCCTCGAAGTGAAGGTGCCCGAAGCGCTCGTGCCACTGCCACGCCTCGTCATCCCGACGAGCAGCGAGGCAGAGGGGTTGTGCCACCTGCACGTTAAGGACGTAGAGTCGATTTGCGCTTCTGGTTACCTTGGCAAGAAGGCGACGACGGCGATCCCAAATCCTCATGACTCCATCCTCAACCACCACGCGCGAACCGTTCTTATCCAGCTGTCCCAAGCTGATGATAGAGTTCCTCAACGCGGGGATGTAGTAGACTCCGGTGAGCAGCCTGTGCTCACCAAACACGGTGGTGAAGATGACGGAGCCGATGCCCTTGATCTCCACGCCGGAGGCATCCCCAAACTTGACGGAGCCTCGGACGCTAGGGTCAAGCTCGGTGAAGAACTCCCGTCGACCGGTCATGTGATTGGTGGCGCCGGTGTCGAGGCACCACCCGTCAGTCTTGTCGTTGCCGGAGCCATCGCCGAGGAGGGCGTGTGCTTTTGGCTCGTCAAGGTGGAGAGCCGCTGCGGCCGGTGCCGCTGGAGGTAGCTCGATGCTTGCATGTGCCATGAACAGAGCCGGCTCCTCCTCCGCTTGTGCGACGTGGGCCTGGCCGCGTCGTGGCTGTCGACAGTCCTTGGCCCAATGGCCAAGCTGGCCGCAGTTGTGGCAGGTGTCGTCTCGTGCCGGCTTGTGCTTGCCGTGGCGCCGCCACTGGCGCCTCATGGCATCACCCTCGGACGTCCTGCGCGCTCCGGCTTCAGGCGTCTCTGCGCTTTGCGCGGCTTGCCACGCTTATGTTGCTGTCGCGGAAGAAGGCTCCCCTTCTTCCGGTTACCTTTTGAGCATCCCATCGCTCCCGAGTGAGAAGGAGCTTCCCGCCAGTAGTGATGGGCCTCGAGAGAGATTGTGGCTCATCGCTGTCGACGACCTTGAGGCGACCTATCGCCTCCTCGATCGACATTGTGGAGAGATCTAGCAAAGACTCGATCGAGCGAGCCATCTGCTTGTACTTCCCGGGGACGCAGCGGAAGGGCTTTTCGACAGCTCTCTCCTCGCCAGGTGTCATCGTCGAATCGCACCATCTTCGCGCAGTGAGTGTTGAGACGGAGAGCAAAGTCATCAACATCCTCACACGGCTTGAAAGCGTGTTCTCTCACCTCGCGCGGCGAAGTGCTGCGGTGTGGACTTGCGGGCGCGGTCGCCGCCGACATGCGTGCCGCGATGACGTCCCAAGCCTCCTTGGCGATCCGCTTGTTGGTAGCGAGAAGCGCATCTCGGACGAGATTGCAACGATGAGGGCATTCGGCGCCGTCGATCTGGTCGAGTCGACGCCGCCGCACCGGACCGCCTCCCACATGTGCCGCACTGGAGTTTTACCTCATCACCGCAGCCCACTCGGCGTAGTTGGTCTTAGTGAGGGTAGGCCACCCACCACCGGAGCCGACGTCCCCGACAACGACTGAGAGCCGTGGTAACCACGGCACCGATTCGGGAGAGAGAGAGCCACGCCGCTTGTGAAGGCGCGCGCTCCATCGACCCGTCCGCCACCGTTGTCGTCGCGCCTCCTCCAGAGCCGCCCGCGCCTCCTCCGAGCGCGCCCGCCGCGCGTCGCTGTTCAGGCTGCCGCCGCTTCGCGGCGTCGCGCTCGCCGCCATCGCCGCCTTGCGCTCACGCCGCCTCCCTTCCCGTGAGCTCGAGGTCGCGTCGGCGTTGTTGTCGCCAGCAGAACGGAGCTGCGATGATTGCCGCTGTGAGATCCTCGACCTCCGCCGCCGCTGCGCGCCCTTTGCATCCGCCGCTTCGCCTCGCTTTGCATTGCTTTGCCGGCTCGCCATTGCCGCCGCCTTTGACGCTTGCCGCCGCGGCAATCTCTGCCGCCGCTTCATTCGCGTTCTCTCTGCCGCGGCAAGTTGGCCTCGCCGACGACGCCGCGTGCTCGAGGCGACCGAAGGCCGAGATCGCGCCTGCGGACATGACGCGCTACGGGGGGGCTGCTGCTGGGGAGAGGGGCTGCTCTCTGTCTGCAGAGAGAGAGGAGGAGTGGCGAGGCGGCGGAGCTCTTTGTTGCTCCCGGTACAGAAAACATTGCGAGGCTGGGAAAGGAGATGAGCAAGAGATGCTCAAGCTACAGGATAGTACGGCTCTGATACCAGTTGTTAGTCGCTGAATTTTTACTCTTGATAGTAGCAGAATTCTTATTCTCATCGAGAGGATGACACTATGAGTTTTGGCAATTTTCTGGTTTATTTCTCACAGAAATGCCATGCCAACCTGAGGGGTTGGGGATACATAGTTATAGGCTGCTAGCCAGCCAAGCATATGCCAAGATGTTAGATGCTAACATGCTAAGATGCTGTCCTAGCTAGTCAAGATGTTGTCCTTGATAGGCAGCAAGACCACCATGCTACAGCCCCACAAAGACCAGTCAACACAGAGACTTATCCATCATTCATCACCACTACTTATCTCATAAGCCGCCTCCCCAGCAAAGTCACTCGAGAGCACCTGTTTCATCAAACATTAGACTACTCGACTCGCCATACATTTGGTTGTGCATGTTGGCCTAACCTTCGGCCCTACAATTCCCGCAAGCTTCAATTCTGTTCCAAGCAGTGCGTTTTTTTTTTGCTATAGCAATATGCACAAAGGGTTCAAGTGTCTGGATGTCGCTGAAGGTCGTGTTTATATCTCTCGTGACATTGAGTTAGCTGCGATTGTTTATCCCTTTGCTCACCTTCATCCTAATGTCGGAGCCCGTCTCAGATCCGAAATTCTTCTCCTTCCGCCCACCTTGCTTAATCCTTCCTCCAATTTTGGGGACGGCAATTCTTCTGATCTATTTGGTAATGGTTCCCTACGCACTAACTCTTCTCTTGAGTATGCAGAACCTGGAGAAAATTCGGCATCAGATGACACTGCTCCTGCAGCTTCTGGGGGTCATTTTATGCTCCCACGGCAGCTTCCATTTTTGGCAGGGATAGGCGCAGCTCCCGGTGATGATCCGCCTGTGTCGCCTGCACCTCCTGCTCTCAGACCCTCGGATCTGCTGCACCTGCGGTTCCCGTGTCGGCGCCCCGCTCCGCCTCTCCGCGTGCGCCACCCGGCCCGGCTCCGCTCCACCTGGTTCCGAGGACGGGGGACACGAGGCTGCCGCATCTTCCTCGGCCCCGACGCCCGGATCATCTACGGATGGCGCCCCGGGATCGCAGGGATCCCTTACACCGACCACACCGGCCTTGCCTGGATCCTCTGTGCCACCTGCGCCTGCGTAGCTTCCTCTGCCGCCTCAACGACCTGCAACTCGTCTTAAGCAAGGTATCCGGAAACCTAAAGTTTACACTGATGGTACAATTCGTTATGGTGAGCTAGCAACTACTTCAGAGGGTCCTCTCACTTTGCAACATGCTCTAACTGATAAAAATTGGAAGCATGCCATGGAGGTTCACCATCGCACCAAGCATATCGAGATCGACATTCACTTCGTTCGCGAGAAGGTGGCACTACGAGAGGTTCACGTCCTCCATGTTCCATCGGTGCACCAGTTTGCGGACATCATGACCAAGGGTTTTCCTGTACAGTTGTTCACTGACTTTCAGACCAGTCTGTGATCCTACCGCTACGACTACGGCGGGTATTAGGAAAGGATCCATTAGGATCAATTGTATAGGATAGCTATCCATGTATAGCCTAGCTTCCTTGTATTGTATCACCTACCTTGTACCACACAGGTTGATCATGGCTATATATATGCAAGGCACCCCCCCCCCACACACACACACACAATGGGTGTGTGGTGTAATTCACATACCTTTCTACAACTATATTTGGTGGGTCAGGGGATGTATCCTTAAATGAAAACTTCCTAGTAACAGGAGATAGACTAATGCATGGTTCCGAAACAGGGAATGATTAAGGTTCAGTATGATCAGAAAACTTGTGCCTTTCTTTTTATGAACATTTTGGGATTTGGAAACAGTTCCCAAACCCATTTTATTTAACCTGATATTGTTATATAGAATTATAGATTCTGTTTCAATGTATGTGCTCTTCATGCTGATTAACCTTGCTGCTATTGAAGGATATAGGAGAAAGGGAAGGAAAATATTATGCTATCAACATTCCACTTAAAGATGGGATAGATGACGCTAGCTTTACTCGACTTTTTAAAACAGTAAACTCCCTGAACTGCATCTCCTTCTTGTTATTTTGTCATTTTTCTTAGTCCTGTCATGTTATCTGAGTTTATCATGCAGATTATTGCCAAAGTTGTTGAGACATATTTGCCTGGTGCTATTGTTCTTCAATGTGGGGCTGATTCATTGGCGAGGGACCGTCTAGGCTGCTTCAACCTCTCAATTGAAGGTTCCACAGTTTTTAACATATATATATACACACACACACACATAGAATCGGCAAGACTGTCATGTGTATATCTAATTAGTTTTCCAGTTTTGTATGCTTAGATCAGCTGCTAGAGTGTCTCTCTTTTTTTTTGGCTCATTGGTTCGAGTCGCGGTCTCCTCGCATTGCACTGGCGAGGGTAAGGCTTGCCACTGACACCCTTCCCCAGACCCCGCACAGAGCGGGAGCTCTCTGCACTGGGTATGCCCTTTTTTTTGGGTGGGGTGGCTCATGTCCTTAGTTATAATTTTTTACTGCTCTGCTGATGTTCCTCGCATCAATGGAGTTTTAGAGTTCCTTTGGGCTATTCACCTACCTTCCTTAGGCTAAGCCTACTTCAATTGTCTATTAGTGCTGCTTACATGCCCTATCTGTTTTCATGAACAGGCCACGCTGAATGTGTAAAGTTTGTCAAGAAATTCAATATTCCTCTTCTGGTAAGGGACGTTACTATTGTGTGGTATTTCTACCTGGCTTTAATAGGCTATCACTGTATTTTCCCATCATTCAGGTAACTGGAGGTGGTGGATACACCAAGGAGAATGTAGCAAAGTGTTGGGCTGTTGAAACTGGAGTCCTTTTAGACACAGAACTCCCAAATGGTATCTCATTTATTCATTTTCAACTTTGTATGTATCTTTCTTCTTTGCCCTCTTGTTTTTGGGTGAAGCAGCTAGTAGCCTAGTTATCTTTGCTACTTGTAAAATTTCTCATGTTCCTTCTGTTCATGTCATCATATGGGGTTGAAATTTTCTGATAATTCTTTGTATAGTTTTCTATGCTAGCGAGTTTTACTTTGGCATTTTCTGTGCAGAGATTCCAAACAATGAATACATCGAGTACTTTGCTCCAGATTATACATTGAAAGTTCCAAATTTGAACATGGTGAAGAAACATCTCCCTGTTGGCCTTTATTAACCCTATACCTGGTGTGTGTGTGTGTGTGTGTGTGTGTGTTTCTTTATATTAAGTAGCCTTTGAAATATTGAACTGTGGCTCAACTACAATTTGTTAATCATTGCCTCAAAAACAAAATTTGTTAATCAATTTAGTGTTACTAGAAGCCTGAAACTTTCATATGTTTCTTGCAGATTGACAATGATTTATGACTTCTTATCTATTGTTCAATTGGAGCAGGACAATTTGAACAGTAAGACCTATCTCAGTTCAATCAAAGTGCAAGTGATGGAGAGTTTGCGGTCCATACAGCATGCTCCTGGTGTTCAAATGCAAGAGGTTAGGCTTTCTCTGCTCGGTCGTTGAATATATACATTGGCACTTGCATGATGAAACCTCCCAAGTGAAAATGGTTATGTATAAAAACATGGGCAGTATCAGAACACTCAAGTATGTTTTTTTACTTTTTTTTTTTTGCTTCAATCAAGGCATTTTATTCTGAAGGGGTCATAAATAAATCATTTGCAGGTTCCTCCCGATTTTTATATCCCGGATTTTGACGAAGATGAATTGGATCCTGATGAACGTGTTGACCGTAAGTGTTATGGATTGACTACGGAAGATGGATTAGCAGAGAGACCCCGGATAGCAGCCCTTCCTCGGGAACTATCTTAGGATCTTCTTGTTTGACTATAAATGATACATGGTTCTCTATTTTATGGAGATGACTAACTTGACCCCTAAGTAAATATCCTAACCGAATCAATCTAACATATCTCTTTCCTATGAAAACAAAACCAATCTAATCTAATCTGTTCATGTGCTACAGTACATCTGTTCATGCGCTACAGTACCTCGTGGGCCCCTGGGTCGGCTCCACTTGCCATAACACTACTTCGCCCCTCCAAGACAGCTCGTCTTCGAGCTGTGGCGATTGCTGGAGCAGAAGTCCTTGCGGTCCAGAGAAGATCGCCATGGCAGACCTGCTGAAGGAGACCAATGTTGCGGTTGTAGTCGAGGCGGAAGGCATATGGCTCCCCAAAATCAACTCCGTCCCATGGGATCTGAGTGGTGAACGATCCATACCTTCCTCCTCGAGGTGCCAAACTTGGCTGCTCCATCCGATCCGCTCGAATCGAACCGCCGGCTCGAATCCATGGGCGCTTTGACGTGGAGTCGATGGTGCCCTCCACGAGCGACCACCCCGCTATGGGTGCAAAGCAGAAGGGTCAGGCTTGAGGCGTACTCAAGTGACCAATGGAGCTTTGAAGGCTGGCCGAGCCGGCGGAGAATAAGCGCATGCAAAAACACCATGGCCCCCGCTCGAGGGATCGGTCTTTGCTGCTCGTAGAGCAGCGACAAAGGCACCATGTCCGCCAATGTCGGTGCATGGATGATCGCCTGCATTGGCGACACTAGTGCCGGCGGGGTTGTTGGCGAAGCTGGTGATGAGACTGCCGGAGTTGTGACGAACTCCAACTTGTAAAACTTGGGTGGCGGCGGGTCCTGTGCGGCGGCCGAGGGCGCCGCCGTGCGGTTGCCCCGAAGGGCGACGCAAGGCGAAGAGCTGCGTCGGCATCGATCGCCGCCATGGAACGAGGGGGCCGCCCACCCCGCCCGTGAGAGGACGCTGGGCGCCGCTAGCGCGCTTTTGACCGGTGGTCGATGGTAGCGGTAGGGTGTGGCCGGGCATCCGGCGCCGATGTAGATGGGTTTTGATGATTAACCGGTGATCCAAGCCGAAGCGGTGGTGACGGCGACGGTGGGAACTTGATCTCTGCTGGATGGGAACGCGACGGCGGCGGCGGCGGCGCGGCTGGAAACGAGGTCGTCGCAGTCCCGTCGTAGGGCATCCCATACTGGTACGAGATGACCAGCGCCGTGGTCGCGGCCGAGGGCGGCGGCGGCGGGGGTAGTTGTTGTTGGTGTGGCGGCGGAGGAGGTGGCAGCTGGGGCTACGACTGGGGCGCATAGGGCCCAACGAGGAAGGCCCTGATGCCCGCCACGACCTGCCCTAATTCCAGGATTGCGGCCGTCATCTGCTCCGGGGTGAGGACGAGGGCGGACGGCGCCGGGGCAGAGGGCGCAATCGCCCCTGAGGACGCCAGCGCGCCCAATGCCGGCGCGCCTGCTGTGTGGGGCAGCAGCGCCGACGAAGACGCTGGCGGTGGCGGGTGGGAAGAACTCGGTAGAGGGCTGGACATGATCGAACCAGAGATCTCTGATACCAGATTGTTATGGATTGACTACGGAAGATGGATTAGCAGAGAGACCCCGGATAGCAACCCTTCCTCGGGAACTATCTTAGGATCTTCTTGCTTGACTATAAATGATACAGGGTTCTCTCTTTTATAGAGATGACTGACTTAACCCCTAAAGAAATATCATAACCGAATCAATCTAACGTATCTCTTTCCTATGAAAACTAAACCAATCTAATCTAATTTGTTCACGTGCTACAGTACCGCTGTTCACGCGCTACAATACCGCGTGGCCCTTGGCCGGCTCCACTTGCCATAACAGTAAGTGAAAGATTTCTGGCATGCTCTGTGTTGCTTATTTAAACGAATTAATGATTTGTCTACGGGTCAAGAGTCGTCTAGATTCACGTGCATGGCAAATGCTCGCTCGATTTGTCCTTTTTTCTCTGGCAGCCATTCGCATAGTTACGTTTTTTTATAACAATTCGCATAGTTACGTTGTCTTATACCTAACTCTGTCCTTTGTTCATACATAACTTTGTAATGTGTTATCCTCCAGAGCATACCCAAGACAAGCAGATTCACCGTGATGATGAGTACTATGAAGGTGACAATGACAATGATCACGACGATGGCACACGCTAATCTGCTTCTGAGGCCCTGGTGTAAATCGAAACTGAGAATCTTCACTGTTGTTGTAGCTCAGCAGCCTTGAGATGGAGTAGTTTGTCAGTTGACAGTAGGATCTAACTTAGCAGGTCAAAGTGGTTTAGACTTTTATAGGGATTGTGACCCCTCCTGAATTACACATTCTAGTACAACTCTGCTCATTTTTCAGCATGCAAGATGCATATTTCTCAGTGGTACTGGTATGTGGTATCTCAAAAAATACATACATGAGAAATAGATTTATGCAGCTCAGTGATATGCTGATATGTGGTGTATATATGTCTTGCATTGGATAAAGCTGTGCGATATCCTAAGGTGATAGCACTTTCCTTCTGTTACCGTTCGTGGGGAACGGCTAAAACTCGCGGAAACCAAGGGCACGTTTGGTTACAGGCCAAAGCTGCCCACAAATTTTGGTCTGCCTTATTAATTTGGCTGCTCTTCGGATCTTGGCTAACATTTGGCTGGCCCTAGAAAATTTTGCTTCAGTAATGCTACCTAAGATATTCGGAAGGCTGGATGCCTCTCGCTCGACTCAGTGCCACCATGCGCTGCTCGTCTAAAAAGAAAAAAGAGACTTTTCTATGTGTGTCATTATAAAAGATCGTAATCCTTTGTGTGCCTGAAAAATTCAGCAGTCTTCAGCGCCACTACTTCAACTTTTTCGGGTCCTCCATGCCACTTCCGTCACTTCAGCCTTTAACGCCGTCAAACCGTAGGTGTGAAAAGACGAAAATGCCCTTAAGTTCAAATATGTTATTAATTTTTTTTGAGCATCTTAACGACTTCAAATGAAAAAACTTAAAACTAGAAAGTTGTAGATCTCGTCGAGATCTATAATTTTTATATAAAAATTATTTTCATTTAATTCCGAAAAAAAAATATGATTTGATATGATTAATATATCTTAGAAAAATCATCATATTTTTTTTGGGGGAATTAAATGAAAATAAATTTTATATGAAAATTATAGATCTCGACGAGATCTACAACTTTCTAGTTTTGAGTTTTTTTATTTGAAGTCGTTAAGATGCTCAAAAAAATTAATAACATATTTGAACTTAAGGGTATTTTCGTCTTTTCACATCTGCGGTTTGACGGCGTTAGAGCCTAAACTGACGGAAGTGGCATGGAGGACCCGAAAAAGTTAGAGTAGTGGCGCTGAAGACCGCTGAATTTTTTCAGAGACACACAAGGGATTACGATCTTTTATAATGGCACATAGGGAAAAGTCTCAAGAAAAAAAATCAAATCTCCATAGAAGCTTGTCTCCCCACTCCGCGCTCGTGCGTCGTGACTTCACGGTGCAGTGCGGCTGTCTGACTATCCCAATCTGCTGCGCCGCTACCTCCATCCCGTGTCATCGCCCACTCCGGCGCGCCGCTGCCGCCATCCCCCGCGGTGCCCTCCATCCCCGTGGCACCTACGTCTCCCGCGGAGAGGAGGAATCCTCCGCGTGAGGTACCACTACCAGCCGCTCCACCGACTGCAGCTGCAACCAAACTCGGCCGTCGTCGCCTCGCCCTCCGCCTCCAAGTTCTATGTGCGTGCTCGGAGAGTGCAGCGGCGCCTCCATCCCCCGCCCCCGCCACGCCGCTGTGCTCCGTCCTTCGCCGTGCCTAGGCCAGGCGGCCAGGAGAGTGGGCGTCGCTAGCCAGGCCTAGGCCAGTCGCGGGAGCAACTGGCCGCTGCCAAGCCGCGCCACCATCCTCGGCTGTCGACTGGCTGGAACCGGCCATCCCCCGCTCTGCGCAGTGTCGTACGGAAGAAGGGTGAAAAACGCATGTTGCAAGCGTCTATTTCAAATGTTTCAGAGGTACGTTGATACGGATGTTGTAAAAGTAGATTGGAATATTGCACATGTTGCAATGATTGTACACGTATGTTGCAAGCTTTTATTCTCAATGTTTTATCTGTTTTTTCTGATGTATGTTGCAAGTGTGTTTATATGCATATGTTTTCACACATATGATGCAAGTGTTTTATCTAGATATTGCGTATGTTTATAATGGTTTTAAGTGTTTTTCATTTGTTTTTGCAATTGTTTTAGACGCATGTTTCAAATATTTTATTTGTTTTCAGATGTATGTTATAATTGTTGTATCTGGATGTTTCAAAACTAGATGGAGTATTGCATCTCTCTCCTAGTCTTTCTACTATCTCGCCTCGGTATCAGGCGTGGAAAGACGGAGGCAGACCCCACTAGTGCGGGTGGGCCCCATGTGCTTGTGGACGGGCGAAGCAGGCGAGACATGGGTCGGCAGACATAGGACTCAAGACAGGGGCAGCGGTGTGAACGTCCGGGCGCTAGGCATTGCCATTTTGCTTCGGCCTCCTACTCCCTGCGTTCCATGATGGCTTCGGTGTCTACTGTAGTAATGGAAAGATCACAGTGCAGTGTGGTTATAGTCAAATAGCGGGTGAACCGACGCCATCAAGGCATTAGTCACACAACGGTGCATTGCGATTGCGACCATAACTGGTACACACCTGTTCATCAGTAAAGAATGCTCGTGATTGTACAGAAGGTAGCAGGAAATTCACATAACTGCCGAATCATTGCTCCTAACTTTGTACAATAGTACTACTACGTTATTACATGGAACAATTACAGACCTCACTTTGACTACGGGTCACTATTTCCTAGCGTTAGCAAGTATAAGCGAGGCACAAACTGTTTCATCCAGCAACACATTCTACATTTCTACTAGTTGCATCTCGCACAAGACCAGGAATTTCCCAACCGTGTCTTCTAATATTTGATGGTATTAACAAGGCACAGAGTTACAGGCTTAACAGCCAAACTTTCCCAGCGTCCGAAATGACTAACTTTCAACAGAAAACTGCAGGGAAGAGGGACTAAGACTACTCTTGCTAGCTTATCATGATACTGATATATCCTTAGGACTACAGCAGCAATGATACCACTACAGTTACAACTAAAAGAGCTCGAACTCGATGTCGTCGCCATTCAGCCGGAATTCCAGACATTTGCCTTCCTTTTTCTTGCGTGTCGTCGCGAGTGTCGCTGCAGTATCAATGTTTCTCGGGGTCTCTGGCGGCGCAGTCCACCGGATCAAGGCCCAGTTCAGGCCTTCGAAGAAGGGATGCCGCTTAATCTCAGCAGCTCCTCTCGACGAGCCGAGCCGGTACTCTGGCTCTTTCACAAGCAGCCCTCTGATCAGATCTCGTGCGTGGAAGCTTAAAGCTGGGTTGTCAGGGAACTTCAAGCCCTGTGAGATCACATTTGAGAGCGTTTCCTCATTGCCAGGTCCCTTGAATGGTGTCTTGCCGTAGAGTAATTCGTAAAGGAAGATTCCAAGAGTCCACCAATCAACCGAGCTACCATGGCCATCTCCTCGAATGATCTCCGGGGCAAGATATTCATGGGTCCCAACAAACGAATTTGATCTTGCTTCCGTGGGCTCAACAACGAGCTGTGGAAGTGATGGTTTCTTCAGGGGCTCAGCTCTAGGCCTCCGTGTCCTTGATGGTGTAGACGAAACCAGACGGGGTGTGAAGCAAGACGAATTGCTCCAGGATGGCTGGATACACAGGGGATCAATGCAGCTTTGTGCACAGGGACCAGAAGGCCTACTGGGCTCATCTCTGCCTACTGATGATGTTCTCACAAGCATTGGGCTCACTGAGCACCTCAGAGACAGATCAAAGTCCGAGAGCATGATGTGCCCGTCTTCACGAACAAGTATGTTCTCTGGCTTCAGATCACGGTATATGACCCCCAACATATGGAGATACTCCAAGGCTAAGAGGACTTCAGCAACATAAAACCTACAAAATGTAGATCCCTTGAGTTACAATAGCTCAGTACTAAAATGAAACATATAAATTGTAAGTTATAATAACTCACTAGTAAAATGCAGCCTATATAAAACAAATGTAAAATATTGGATTACAATAGCGTGATATACGATCACTGGACAAAAAACATCTAACTGGTAGCAAATGCAGTGAGATTATATAATCACCGTTTTTAGTTCTTGGTAAAGTAGCTCAATAATGACAAATTCATGTGTAATAGTGCATAAAGATAGCACATTTATGACGACTGAAGGTCCATACCTTGCAGCTGCTTCCGAGAAAGTTTTGGTAGGTTGTTTCTGCCTAAGAACATGTAGGTCACCACCAGGGCAAAACTCCATTACCAGACAAGAAAGGTTGTCTGTCGTGAAATGAGAATACAGAGTTGGAAGGAATGGGTGGTCGAGCATTTGCAGTATCTCCCTCTCAGTTTGTGCTCTGAGCATTTTCTTTCTGCTTATGAGGTACTCAATGTCCATAACCTTCAACGCAAACATGCAGTCTGAGCCCACTAACTCAGCCAAATAAACAGTGCCAATATCCCCACAACCAAGTTGTTTCAGAAGCTTGAAGTTCTTCAATCCCAAGTTCCCTTGTTGGATAGCCATGCGCCTGATGGCTCCCCATCTCACATCCTTTGACATGTGAGGCCTGCTTCCGTTAGCACTGAAGCTGCCATAACTGTCCTCACTGATGCTTGTGCTGGTGCTATAATCACCAATGCTACTCTTAGAGCTTTGGGAGAATTCGCCCTTCTCCTTTGATCTTGACAACTCCCCAACCTTCGAGCCATGGATCACACCAACACCACATCCATTGGTGCCAAAATCAGCTCCATCAACGGTGGCGGAGCTGACAGCAGCCTTCTTGTTAGTTGGTGCTGGGGTTCTGGGTTCATCCTGAAGGGACTCCTGATGTTTACTAGTGTGAGACTTAAGACCTTTCGTCTCACAATGCTTGTGTGATGCGGGCACTATAGCAGGTTCAGGTTTGACCACCTTTTTCGTAGAGGTTTTATTCCGAAACATTGGCCTCACCAGCCGTGAGCCACCTACTGGAACAGCCCGGGGGCTAGATGTTTTGACAGATTTTCCCTTTCTCTGTTTTGGCAGTGTTGCTCCTACAGAAATATCTTCAACTCCCTCTGATGACTT